TTTTTGCATCCATAGTGGGGCCTGATAAACAAAAATTGGAATTGAAATTTCAGATAACAGATGGTGATTTGAGATGGAATACTACTATAGATTGTATAAAGTACACTTAATTAAGAGCCTCTATATTCAGCTTTCTTTGTGTGGAGGCAAAGTCCACAGGCTGGAGCTCATTATTTCGAAGGAGGCAAAGAATATACATACATGCATGTCGGTATTTATCAGTTTGCCTAAAATATTCAAGGAAAAGAGGCAGCTGAGTGAATCGTATGGGGAGTATCACTGGTATCAAGCGTACAGAGGGTGTGATGAAGTTTAAACAAACTGTCATGCTTCCTACATTACCAGTTAAAGGATGCCGCCATCGGGGGGGGGAATTCAGTCATCCATGTTATGCGTGAGAAAGGGTCAGTGTTATCTGAGCAAGTGTCCTGTCAGCTCTGTTTCAAACAGCTATTGCTGCGTTAAATGAGAAGATAAAACTGTTGCTCCACATATGCTGGCCTGCATGCTTAATCATTTAAACAGTCTTGGAATACATTGATCTAGAGGAGTTATCAATGTGAATTATTTGTCATTTCAACCAGCAGTATATGAATATGTTGCATGTGTTGCATATACTGAAGTCTCCTCAATTGGTGTTTTATGAAGACGCAGTGCTTCCTATAAGTTGTTAAAACCCTCCCACGTCTATTGAAGTTGGGAAACATTTTGACTTTGAAGGCCGTAGCGTGTGATTCACATCTCTTTCATACTTTTTAAATCTTTCAGTTACCCACCATCAGCGCGGCACCCTGAAGAATTAGACCTGTACATGAATACCGCAAATTTTGTTCCACATTCCCTTTGAAGCATTTTTGGATTGTTGGGCTTCTAATATATTTGAATCCCTGTAGTTCTGCTTCAAATGTTGATTTTTTTTGTTTTATCTAAGGCAACGTAGTGCCTCATCATGTATATTGCAATGCAGTGTTGCCTGTAGTCTGCATATAGAATATAGAAAAACAAATCCTGTAAATATAATAAGAACTTTTAAAATATTTATTACATTTTTTGATGCAAACCACAATTCATGCTACTTAATAAATAATGAAGTTCCCTGGCCATATATTTCCATAAAGAACACATGTTTCGAGAAGATACGTATTACCTGCAGAGTCAGACAGCAAAACCTTTGATGTTAGAACAAAGAAAGCACATGCTCCTTCTAAATGCTGTTAATTAAAAACAGCTCTAGTCTTGCAGGCAGAGTTTATGTCTATTGAACGGTTAAAGGAAGATTTTCATCTTGTAGTCTCAGGAGCTTTGAAGCGCACCACCTGGGCAGGAGCTAAACTGCCATCAAACAGCAGGGTACAGATCCAATCTAAAAGCCATGTTATTTGGGGAGCAGACTTATCTGAAAGTCTCGGGGAGTCTGTCGAAGATGAGGTAAACTTTGTTCCAGACTGGTCAGAAAACTTCTCTTAAAAACTCGATTTGGTAAAATTCTAGGGATGAGTCAGAAGCTGCCTGATGTTTCCGACGCCCAACGTGACGGCAGATGTGGCAAACTCTTCTTTTGAATGTCCATTTTACTCTGAACAATTATAAGGCGTTCTGTTTCCTCCAATTTGGTTGAATAGCGGTTGGAAAACATCAAAACTTTGCAGTGCTATTTTCTTCTGGAAGGATTCTTGGCTTTGTGTCCGCAGTGTTTTGAAAAGCCTGACTGGTAACTGTGCTTGGTCTCAGCAGGGTAAAACTCCATTATGTTGCCTTGAGTCTCACTGTGGTGCCACTCATTTATGCTGCACACGCCTAAAGTGTTGTCACTGACATATATTTCTGCACCTGCTGTTAAACAACTAATATAGCGATTTTATAGAGTAACCTGTTTGGAAAAAAAAGATACGTCAATGACACAGTGAAAAAAATAAATTTCAGACCTGTTGATTGATCCAGAAACATGAAGGCGCTCTACGTCAAAGAGAAAAATTGTGTGATCGCCTAGAATAAAATTTAAAAGTGGTGTCAGTTGGTGGCAGCACAAAGCTGGCCTCCTCATGTTGCTGAAAGAAGGCAACTTGTTGGTTTCTCTGAAAAGCCCGTTTTTCTTCCCCGCATTACATTCAAAATGTGTCCCCCTTTGATTTCTGGTGTCAAAAAGAGAGAAACATAATTTTCAAATGGAGCCACATTGCTGTTGACTGTGTGTTTTCTTACAGTCCTTTTGTTCATTTATTTCTCCCATTGTACAGTGGGTGACGTTTTATAGATTTGTTGCTGTTTTTACTCATGCTGAGGCTCTAAAGATCTCTTAAATCAATTTGTTGAACCCACATACACTTGATATGCTCTCTAGCTTTACTTTAGACATTCAGTGTTGTAGCTTCATATAGTTTTCATCAACATAAAATGCATCAGGATAGTAATTATTATCAATAAAATAGTTTCAGACAGCAGTCATGTGTCAGTCATTGTTTAATATGAAACTAGCTGGTGGTCTGTTAGAATAAAAGCTCACGATCTCCTTCAGCTCCACTGAAAGGACGTGTCGGCTGTGAGAAGCTGCTTTTCCTCCTCCAGGATCAATGTTTTACGCTGTGACTGAAAGAGCTGCTGCGTCTTGGTGCTGTGATTTAATATGCCACCATTGCCGCTTATTATTTGCCTATTAGAAGAGAGTGACAGCAGGACATTTAGAATGATGCCGCCGTTGAATTATTTGTGTTTTTCTCCCGGGTTGGTGGGCTCGACTTCCCTGTTTTGTGGGGGGTTAACTGGAGCAACACGATGTAACCTTTGTTTTTATTTGTTTGTTTTTCCCTGATTCATTCACAGCTCTTTGCTACGCGTCAACTGTCTGTAAAGGCGGAAAAAGAAAAAGGGGTTATGAGTCATTTTACTGTGCACAGCACCCAAGTTTACGTGAGCACAGCTTTTACGGAGCCATGTGCCGGTAAATGAGGATCACTCAGGTGGTATTTTACAATAACTATATTGGTTTGATTGTGGATAGAACACTCACATGGTTCATTTAATTGTCTTAGCTGCGTGCAGTATATTTTGAATGATGCATACGGAGCTTAATGGAAGGACTATGCGTCTTAATTGAAAGGTTGAGTATACTTCATGGAAGCATGACCTACATCTGCTCTTGTTTTTCATTAAGGTTGTTAACATTACACAAGTGTGAATCAGTGTGATTGGTCTGATCCACTTTTCACCATGTTTTTCTTCTTTATATTCTTAATATATAGTAAATTGATCATGAACCAGTGGACCTAAGATCCCACTATGACTCACAGCAGCACTCTTAGGTTGCTATATAGTGCCCTCCTGTGTTTGAATTGTAAAACACACCCGCAGGCAGCCACAATGATGGATGTTTTGTGATTAAGTGCCTGTGATGTTTAGACGAATGATTTGATTACAAAATGTCACCTCAGTTAATTAGTCTTCATTCAGGTTCTTAGAAATACTAATAAGACCTGAAAACAGAAACAGTGCTTGGAAGACACCGAATAAAGAATCGTGTACAAAAAAAACGATTCTAACCAAATTGGTTGCGTTTCAAGCCAGCCATAGCTTGTGCCTTCCCTTTGAAGAAAAAATGAGAAAACACATAAAGCTCACAGCTATCAAATTATCATAATTTTACTCTACAATAATATATACATGCATATTTTTTAAGGACTTCCTGTCTCTGTCCTCCAGTTCAAACCGCACGACTCTGTACTAAAGGGTAGGCAGAAAAAAAAAACAGATGTGTGAACAAGCAAGTGGGTGATTGGTGACCACATGTCTCATCACACATAAAGAGCAACGCTGTGAGAGGGATGCAGCACGTCTTCTTAAACTAAACCTGTTTACTGGTATAAAGTCTTAACGTGGGCTTAATTTAATATGCTCAAGAAAAAGAAAATCACCAAAATAAAATCTAATAAGCATTCTGTCTTATTATAACTTTGGGCTTGTGTTGATATTCTCGGCCGCCGTTCCTTTCAATTATGGCAACACTACTCAGCAAAGTAACTGCTCGCACAGCAATGAAGCGAAAAGGTCGCGCAGGCGGTGTGACAACTTGCCAAGAGGTCTCCAGTTCAGCTACCAAAACCTCCTAATTAAGAGGTACAAAAGGAGAATGCAGCAGAAATCCCTAATCCCTATTTAAAAATGAGATAATACACCTTGAGGCGCTTGTTGTGATAAAACAAGTTTCACAAACTCTACAGAAAGTGCCCGAGGTAAGTACTTTGGGTTCTCAAAAGTTGCTAATGGCTACCAGGGCTGTCTGACATTGTTTTCTGTTTTCAATATGTCTGGGCATTTGTTTTAAAACCTAAATGTCTGAGAACTTTTAATATTTTTTGCAATATCTGACTCAGTTTCCAACCCAAAAGGAACCAACCGACAGAAGTAATGGACAAAATAAGTTGCAATAAACACAACGTTATCATCGGCGTAGCTGTCACGACAGGAACTGAAGTTTTTAAATGTCAACGCGATGCAGCTCAAGCCAGGCGTTTCATGTCACCGCTGAATTATCTCACAGATGCAGCGAGTCTGTAAGATGCAAAGTGACAGTGTGAAAGTGTGAAGGCAGAATGTGATTCGGGGGTTACTGCACACGCAGGAACCGAGTGTGCTCGTGTGATAGCTGTAACTATCTCAAATTTATGAAAGACAAGTGAACAAGAAGGAAATTAGAAAGAGAAACAAAAAACCACAAAGGCGAGAAAAATAAGCCTTAAAACAAAAAAACAACAACAAAAAAAAGTGCTTTCCTTGTAACTGCCCTTCACTGTTGTATTTAGATTCGGGGCATTGTTTAAAGGTTTGTGAATTGGTGCAACACGTAACTGCTTCGGGGCTTTCCAGACAAGCACATTTGTATTTATTATACCAAAATATTCTTGTTGAGTTTCCAAAAGTTTTACCTGGTTATTCATATTTTAGCCATTATTACACCGTTATTACATCTTTGTGTATTGTAACAACATATACATATAAAACAACAGTATATTTGTGGCCCAGTGCACAAGAACATTACAACACTTGTTTGATAGTGTACAGAGAAGTGAGTTTGCCAGTTACTAGAGAATGAAAGAAAACAACCCAAGAGTATGATAGTAAATTCCGTTATGTCATAACTGTGGCTGGCAGATATTCCCCTGCTGCTCCTCTGCTCCTGTTATTTCCCACTTTTTGACACTGCCTGTATTGCTTTGATCCACTCCTTCCTTTCTTCGGCTGTAGCGGCTTGGAGGAAGTAGTGAGTCTCGTCTGAGGTGATGATCTCAAAAAGGTTGCCATCAATGTCGTACTTTTTGGCTGAAACCACGGAAAAAGGGACTTAAAAGGAGTGAAACTACTGCAAGCAAACACCAGTTATAGTTACTCACGAAGGAAGCAACACTCACCGTCAGGCACAAATTCCACAGCTGTGACCACAGCGCCACGGAGGTGGACCGAGCCCAAAGGGTCGTCGCCCTGACAGGAGGCAAAGGAAGGAAGAAAACATGGAGCTGATGTAAAGCTGATACCATTTTGAGCAAATACCAGTTTGTACAAGTCAGTCCATTTACCTTAGTGGGATCATAATAATGCATATAAGCAGGGTCGTCTCTAAGGATGAACTTTCGCACCTTCCAGTTTTTCCTCCTGTGGCCCTGTGACAAAACAACACAGCGAGCTTTATCACATTTGTAGCAATAAACATAACCTTGTGTCAAGCAAATGGGACCCAGAGTTCCTCTTTCAGTGAAAGTGATGACTGGGTTGTTTTTTGTGAAAAACAAGACATCACAGAACAACGCTGTCTTATAAAGACACTTTTTTTTAACACCTTGCAAATGTGTAAGAGCCTTCAGTGCAGCAAAAGCACTGTGACAGTTTTGCTTGCTTTGGGCTTCACCTGTTTAAGTAAACAGCCCTGTTTTATGATGTTTCCTCTGAATTCTTCCTTCAGGAGCACATCTTCATCGCTGGAGTAGCCTTCACAGAAGAACCCGCTGTCGGCCTGCAACAAAGCACAGCCACACACACTAATGTTATACATACGAGGTGTGTTGGACAAGTACAAAAAAAAGCACAAAAGATATATTTCAAACCTAAACTACAAACTACGAGTTTTCCCCTTCAGATGATAAACCAGCACGTCTACAAAGAGATCCTGTGGCGTTTGCTTCATTCAGAGGTGAGAGTTGTGGCAGGAGAAGTCGTGGCTGCTTCACCATGACAACCTGCTCACAATGCCCTGAGCATCCTACAGTTCCTGGCTGAGAAGAACATTGCCGTGCTGGAGCAACCTCCCTACTCACCCCACCTGGCTCCAGGGGATTTTTTCCTCTTGCCCAAGCTCAAGGGGGTCATCAAGGGAACCCGTTTTAAAGACGTGAACGACATCAAGATGGCTGTGACAATGGAGCTGCAGAGGATCCCGGAAGAATCCTTCCAGGAGTGCATGGCGGCATGAATAGAAGGCTGGGGAAGTGTATTAGACTCCAGGGGGACTACTTCGACGAGGAAAACTTGTAGTTTGTAGTTTGGATTTGAAATATATCTTTTGTGACACCAGTCCTGAAACTTTTCTGATCCAAATACTTGGCCTTGCTGTCAAATACATATTTTCTATCGATTATAAAGACACAGTTTTGTTCAAAAACAACTTTGTGACAATGAGCTGAACTTACAAAGTAGTAAAGAGCTTTCGTGTCATCCAAGAAGGCTGTTTGCTCGGCGCTCTCTGCTCCCTCTTTTGACAGGTCACCTGCAGGCTGCAGAAAACCCTCATTCAGGAGCCCTGTTGCTAACATGAGAGCCTCAGGCCTGTTTCTTGCCTTCTCTTTTGAAATCAGCCATTCAACCACTGTTGCACCTGTGCAGAAAATAGGGTGAAAAAATGGTGAGAACATGGTAAGAAAAAAATAAACTTCTTTCACACCTGTAACATCAATAAAACCAAGACAGCAGTACCAGTGAAGCAGTGGTTGAAGACTCGATTCTCCTGCTCCAGTTTTAACTCTTTCACCCCATCCTCCTGGTCTTTCATCAGCATGTACAGCTCACTGAGAAAACACAACGTAAACACTGTCAGTATGTCTGGCCGTTGGATTGCTCAGCACAGGCAGTTGACAATTCACTAAACCCCAATGGCAAATAGTCATGAAGGGGCATAGCAGGCCTGTCAATCATCAGATGTTCTATGCCTCCTGAACCTGCATGGATGGAGCTCTATTTTTAAGCTGGTGGTAAACAAAAACAATGGAAGTTTGTGTACTTTTTAAAGTTTCCAAAACTGAAGTGCAAAAGGTGCAAAAAAAACTAGCAATTCTTGCTAACTTGTTCAATACTTGTGGTACATAATCTGCAAGCGACTGCTAATGATGAATTCAAAGTGGAGCTTGAGGCTTAGATGAGGTCATTACTTAGAATAAATCCATTTATTTCCTCAACAACAGGAAGATTTTAGAGCACATACTTCAGGTTTACGGTCTCGGGCAGCCGAATGGAGCGCCTTGTGGATTTTCTGGCGAACCTCTTCCCTCCCTGCAGGCAGGTGATGGCTCTCTTGATGTCCTTCACCCATAACTCTCTCTCCTCCACGTGCGACGCCTGGAAGAAGTGATCCTGCTTCTTCTCTGTGGTGATCTTGAAAACCAGCTGAATCAAGCACATTTAGTCAGTTATTCTTTTACTTTCACTTTCTCTTAAGCATGAGAAGCATCAACAACATGTAGATTTGCTAACAAATGGCTTCACTAGCAGCCACACATATATTATTCAGAGTTGTAATAACTCATCAATAGTCTGTATTTGGCTCTAATCTCTCAGTACTAGCTCTAATTTTTACTCGATAGGTATACTTGACATTTTCCTACCGTCCTCTTGGCAAAATCCTGACAAGGAGTGATGAGTGTGGCTCCCTTTAGTGGAATCATTCCTTTCGGTGAACTGTCTGTTTTCTTTTTATAGAACTCCACACCATCTTCCGACAACACCACCCACACTGCCTTCCAGGAGTTAAGCACTGTACCCTGCGGATCAATAAGGAAAGTGACAAGAGGCAACCTTGAGGAAAAGTGCAAAAGAACTGGTCGGAGGTGCAGCTGTGTCGTACTAAACCAAACTTTTTGAGTTAACCTATTTTAACATCTCTTTGTCATCGGTAAAGGTGCTTGTCTGTTAGTCTGGTATGTTCCTCGTCTTCTTTAGAATCCAGATTTAACCACCAGTGGCAGCACCATGCATCACATTTCCAACAGTGACCTTTGAAGGTCAGTTGCACGTAAAAATAAACTGAGAGTTAACTTTTTGTTCAGATAATGGCTTATGAAAGAAGTTTTTAGTCCCTGTATGCCTTTTGCTTTGTGTTTCACTTCACAAGCTGCCGTTCGCAACATGAAGTGAAAATAAAGACGGGCCTTAAAAAGGAAAGCAGGCAGTTCTGTCATGTGCTAGCTTCTTAAAAATGCAGAAACGAATCCTCAGTTCTTGTAATAGGTACGAGAGAGAGAAGTCATTTGCTGGGCAACACTCTGTTTCTGTTTTTATGTTGCATTTCACTTGATTCGAGTTTAAACAAATCATTAAGTCCTGTTGCGCCTGCAGTGTCCTCTGCTCCCGTCACTCCCAAAAGCTGGAGTTTAAACAGTGCAGCTTTTTTTTTTTTTTTAAGCTACGCATGCTTTTAAGAAAGCGTAACCTTTAAAGTTACATAACCTGTGTTAGAAACAGAGTCTTCCCAAATATATCTACTGTGACAGACATGCCTACAAGCATTCAGAAAGCTGTGCGCAGAACTGTGGCTGTGCTTAACAAATTCAGCCATGCAGTGGAAAAATCTAATAACTAAAACACGTTATACACAGTGTAGTGTTAGAATACGAGTCCTTAGCCTTCTGAACAGCTGTAGCCGCCGTTCTTGTCATTTACTCGTGTAAAAAAAAATAAGTGGAACTTGTTGAACAACCAAACACTTGATCCCCTCTGAAGCAGTGCCTATTAATGTCAGTGATACACTCAAGCAAGGGTCACATAAAACTGACACTTTGCATTTATTTATAATACATTCCAATAGATTTAGGGGGTTCTGATTAGGTTCCATTGAATAGAACCACCTCACAGGGAGTGACAAGGGGAACCTGTCTTACTTAAACCTCAACATCAAGCGTCTGGTGTTCTCTTTGCTACTGAAATCTGTCTGTGATCTAAAGAGCTCTCAGAAGCCTTAAGAAAAAAGGCGGTGGCTACCCGAGACTGGCAAGAGGTTTAAAAAGGTGTCGTTATTTGAAAGCAATAGATCTACAAATGGATCTACAAGTGATTTTAAATGACTGCCTATCTGTCCAGGACTGGGCGTCCCTGCTAATTGAACCCAAAAGCAGACTATTTGATACAAACTGAAGTTTCCAGTAATCCTGAAATTTCATCACAGGATCTGCAGGTAACTTTTCAGAAAGAATGTAACCTATTTAACCTACATGAGAGTTGTAGACATGTTTGTAGCCCTGTGTGGCTTTTCAGGAGAAAAACCTCAAAGCCAGATGTGAAGCAGTGTCGTGGAAACGTTGTGG